TGGAAGTTTTCGTTATGTTAATTGTGGTGCCAGTTACTATAGGTAAAAATATGGAAAAGGGTGTAATTATTATTCATTGATTTGCTTCATCATTTAAGCGTTGTCGTTTTCTAGGCGTTCCATTTGTTTCACCTTCTTTTCTTTGCGTATAATCTCCCTGATGTCTTGCACTGTTTGTGACCAGAAAGAGAGAAGTATCAAGATATGTTCTTTGTAGTAACTGTAGTTGAGTATGTTAGTTGGTATTTGTGCAATTTTACTATTAAACTGTTGTTGTTGTAGTTGTTGTCTTTGATGTTGGCATTCTATTGTTCTTTCACTTTGTATTAGTGGCTTTGGGCTTTTAAATTTCTACCTGTCAGGGTATCTTGATATGAAAAATTATTACCTTATAGTATCTCATTGAATGACATAACCTAACAAGTAATTGCATTTTCAGGGAATTCTTTGCGGATGTACATTTTGAAATTGATTGTTGGTTTGATTATTGTCTTTCCCCAAGCTGTTTGCTAGTTGTTGTTGCCACAATTTAGTATTATGGCTTTGGATAATAAACTGTTACCTTTGTAAATTCTGAATTACAATGTTGCTTTACAGTGTATGTGTTGGCTTATGACGTAAAACATAAATTAATATATATGTGTACCTTTCATCATCTTCTGTTTCATATGCTTCGATATATCGTTGCAAAGACATCCCGATATCTGCCAGTCTCCGTGAAAACACTAATGCTCCTCTTTTTGTGTTGGTGGTGCTTGTTTGCACAAGAAATTGACCTAAAAATTATGTTTAGGGAAAATCAGAAAATGAATTCTGAGTAACATGACTGAATTTTGTTGTTTACTGTTGTTTGCGCTATTCATAGCTTGAGCTGTGTTGAAATTATTTTTGTTTAAATTTAAATAGTTACTTGATGATTGGACCTAGTTAGTACGGATATGATATCAGTTTGTAGTACATACGAGTATTTTGGATTTTGTTTTAACTTGTAACAAACATGTACCATTTTTTGAGCTGTTCTTGCTTACTTTGGATCGTTTGGATTAACTTGTAGTTTTTGGTTCATAATTTTCTTTAAGTTAGGTCTTTTAGAAGGTGATGGAATGGTGTATTTAACTTTTTTTCTTTTGTCAAAAATAGTAGCCTTGGTTACATACCTTTGAATTGTTGGAAGTAATGGAGAAATTTTCTATGTGCCCAAAGTGAAGTTGTGAAAGTTGATTCACTGCTTTCAGCATTAGCTCTTTATTAGCGAGGGTGTTTGCGGTACTTCTCCTGAACACGCCCTTTTTAACCAGGATGGAGAAGCTAACAATGGGTCCTGGCGTTGATAGTATTGCTGCAAACACCTTGCTCATGCCATCTGTTGCATTGGACGAAATATCAAATGGTGTATCTTTGTCCTCATTGGACCCACTGCCATTTAGTACATGGGTCTTGTCATTAAGTGTGCCTTTGTGAAAAATCAATTAAATATAGTCACATTATTCTTGTAGTTGAAAGAGTATTATTGCCTTAAAAATCAAACTGCAGTATAGTTGGATAGTTCTGACATTATTTCTAGTTGGTGGAAAAACATGGCCTGCAACTATGGATGACCATCTAGCATTCAACTTGGTGCTATTTATTTTAATTGGCTGGTTTCTGATGTTCACTTGCCACTATTTGTTATGCTAGTAAGTTCAAAGGACAGTATTGAATGCTGATAACACATGTCGTGTAAATATTAAATCAAAGTAGGGAAGTTTTGGCCTTTTTGTAAAAACACTTACATAGCTGAGATAGGCATGTGTTTACGAGGGAATATGCTATTCCAATTGCACCTGCAGTGATGTCTGATTCCATGGCAGTGCCCTCATGGGTTGCCTCAGTGTCATCTAGGCTGCCATCAGTGGTGTCCTGCTTGTAAGAAAGAATTTGTTTTGTTACATCAAATTTATTGATTGAAGGCATATTTATCATTTTGTTGAACTATAATATACATGTCATAGTAATTTTTTTTTTTGTACTGCTGCAGTTTTTATATCTGCTGTAAAATATATTATTAACGATTGGATTTATGTATTTGATATGGAGAGGATGTGGTGTAGTTTAGCTTAATAAATTTTAAATTGCATTTAGTAATATTTATAGCTTATGGTTCATGTTTCATGTTTAAATAATGATAGTGGAATCCTTACTCCATTGTACAGGTTGAATGAAAAGTTTTGATCAACCATGAATTTTGACTGTTTAGTCAATTTAAATAAGGTACCTGTCTCGCGTGTTTTAGATTTTCCTGTAAACAGCTGGAGGAAATCCTGAAACTCCCTTGTATCTGATAGCTGCATTTTGTGTGACGAATACACATTCATCGTTGCAAAAAAACGACATTAGCTCATCAAACATGCCCAAAGACCTAGCACCATTTTCTGAGAGTATCTCTCCAAACTTGTCCCAGGTGCAGTGTGGGAGCAACATCTGCCTTGCTTTATGTCCTCTAACTTCCACTTTGTCAGCCACCTTCTCAAGGATTTGGCTTAAAAATTCATGGAATGCAGATTTGCATCTCCCTAGGTAAGAAATTACACAGAATTCATGTTTTGGAATATGTAAGCCATTGTTTGAATATTTGTGACATTTGTGATAAAATCTACCAATGAACTTCCCTGCTTACATGATTTTTTTGTGAATTTTTCCAGTAAATGGTTTGAAAATGTTACAAATTTATTTAGGTATAAATTGGGAGAAAATAATCCACAAAAGCTTAAAAAAGCCTTGATCTATCCTCTAAATTGTATTTTGAGACATGAGCTAATTTAAAACTCTTGCAACTCAATAATCGCTCACATACACTGTATGTAAAGATGCATTCCAACAACAGTGGTCTCTGTCTTAGTTCCTGAATTGTTATATTCATGTGAGTGTATATAAAACGATCTGTTGTTCAAATTATATGGCTTTTGCACAGCTGGTTGTTTTTGCCAGGAAAAATTCAGAGTCAACAACTCTGTTTCACTTTCCTTGATCCATTAATTAGTATTTGGTACTGTAACAGTTTTAATTTTGGGCAGTTTTTATAAATAATGGTAATTTTGTTTTGAGCATTTGGTAAATTCCTAAAGAAGAAATAAGGTTTGTCCAAAATATGCACAATGTTTCAATTCTGCACCTTTCCTTGAGGTACCAAAGTACATATTTTTTTTGAGGGGTATATAAATATTTAAGGCAAATGTTTTCTATGGGAGCATTGAATTTGTTGTGTTTGGTGTTATTCAATAATTACCTGTAGAAATTACAAGTGCAATCCATGTAATAACTGGTTCTTGCCAGAACGCCTGCTGGACATTGACACATGAATGGCCCATACAGAATGATGTCAACACGATAAATCCGAACAATATTGATGTTGGTTTCTGTTTTAGACCCTTTGCAAAGATGTTACAGATCTATGAGTAAATGTAGAAATCAATAAANGACAATTTTTCATGTTGCCATCAAGGACCAGAACTGAGCCACATCCAGGGGTGTCACAAACATGGCCTGTTTGTAAATAGAACATGAGATGTGTAATCATTGTATTCAAAGAATTTCAAAATTAGTTAGCATTACACTTAGTAAGAAATAAACAATGTACTGCGTATCACTAAAACATCAAAATTCATAGGTTGAGAAGTGCTTAGGTACGCCTCAGTACAAGCATGAAAATGAGGCATGTGACTACACTCTCTGACTTAAATATGGCGATAAGTGAAACAGCGTTGTCTACAGCTCAAGTTTTACTAAGGAAATTCATAATTCTGAAACTAGATTGCAGGAAAAAACAGTTGTGCTGGAAATTATTTATCTTTGTTTTGTTTTAATGGAATCCTGAAGGTGGTATAAAATTCAAAATTAAGAACCTTTGATATTCAGCTTTGCTCACAATCTATCTTCAGCCAAATGGCATTATGCATAAGAATGGTAACATTAACCAACTTTACCTAGGCATAAATTATGTGAAGCAGGAAATGCATTATAATAGAACCACTCACCACTCCATTTTTCCACAAAGGCATCATGGAACTTTCCAGCCATCATCTCAGCCAAATTGTTGCGGTTGCATGAAATGCTGTCTAATTGCAAACTGTATTTCTTTATGATTTCAAGGCATGCATATAATAGAAAAGTTTCTTCAAGACGTCTTCGATCTAGCATCTGGCGTGCTGGTAGCAGATCAGTGAGTTCTGAACGTTTGTCTCTACCAAAACCAAACAATAAAAGATTACAGAGATGCATTTTAAAAGAAATTTGGTAGATAAAAAAAAATTGCTTTCAACTCTGTTATTGGGCAAATTGTTAATCACATCACANGTTGCGGTTGCATGAAATGCTGTCTAATTGCAAACTGTATTTCTTCATGATTTCAAGGCATGCATATAATGGGAAAGCTTCTTCAAGACGTCTTCGATCTAGCATCTGGCGTGCTTGTAGCAGATCAGTGAGTTCTGAAGGTTTGTCTCTACCAAAACCGAACAATAAAAGATTACAGAGATGCATTTTAAAAGAAATTTGGTAAATAAAATAAATTGCTTTCAACTCTGTTATTGGGCAAACTGTTAATCACATCACAATGGTGACCATGGGGACACTTGATTACTCCTTTAAGTGGTCAAATTCAAGTATAATTTTGGTAATTCTCAGTCCGTTAGAAAAATTATGTAAAAATGAAATTGAAAATTGATGCATGAGTAGCAATTCATTTGATAACAATTACAAATAATCATTCAAACTATATGTCAATTAACAACTCCCAAACGATCCAGAAAAGCTGCATAGTTCGCAAGTCTAACCCTGGTTTAAAATAACATGGTTTCTGTGGAAAATGTCCGAAAGAAATACTGAAAATATAATACATATTAACAAT